TCACTTGTGCATCCACTCAATGGTGCTGTGCTGTGTGTCAGGAGATAATGCAGATGTAGTGCTGTTCTGCTAGTATAATTTGTATTCAAGTATGCTGATGAAATAATGAAATCACCTAAGCAACTTCTGTTCATTACAGTGTTTATTAATTATATCAGATGAAATATAATCCCAGTAAAAAAACTAATTAATGTTGTCAGTTGTGAAATGATGAGCATCAAATAGAAAAGTGTTCAGAGTGCCTGCAGTGTGCTGCTTGGCGCTCTGGATTTAGGAGGGAGATCAGAAGTGCACTGCTGGTGTTCCGTAATTCCGCTTTATTTTATATCTGACTAGAGTTTACTGGTGCCGTGCAGTGAGGGGAAAAAAAAAGAGGAGATTCAAAGTGACTAGAAATGAATTTTCAAAGACTTCTGTTCTTCCTGTGTATACTCTGCAAAATACATTGTGCTTTTTTCAACACTTTTCTTTTCATGAGAAACAATGAAACAGCATGTTAATGCCTAAACTTTATTAGTGCCACTGGGAAAACTGGCATTTTCCCCCTATAGTATGAAAACATTACTTGTAAGGTAAATTGCTTATTTTATATTATATATCATAATTCAGCTATTCATAAGCTAGGATCACTGTTATGTGTTAACACTGTTCAGAAGACCGACATGTCAAGTTTAGGTTTTAATAATTTCTTTTAATTTTCAAGTTTCTAATGTCTTATTTATACATAAATGAAATGTATTAGCTTGCTATTATTCCTTAATGTTGCTATAAAGTTCGCTGTTTAAGATACATATAGTAACTACTATCCATTTTCTGATTAAATTTACTTAAACTTTAAAACCAAATAATTTTGCTACTATAAAGTCTTGCACTGGACAGATTCAACATGCTAGCACCATATTTTGGCAGAAAAAAAATCAGATACCATCAGAAGCAGCTGACTTTGATATCAAAGATGGTATTTTTAAAATCAGCACTTAGCTTTGTCATTAAAGCAATGTTCTTTATGTCTTGGATTGAGTTTAAAGTAATCAAATTAACTAGAGCCATTAAAGATCTCTCTTCTGAATGAATATATTTTCATTTTGTCTGAAGGATCTTAATGTTCAGTCAGGACAAAAGCCTTGTCAGTGAAAAGTGATGTATCCGTGAAGAGAATTACCTAGAACTACAATACACCGTGTAATTCAGATGAGAATTTAACTCCCTCCCCCATTTTGAAGAGCTTTAAAAGGCAGAGCAATGTGAAGTCATTTGTGCAATGGTTTCATTAGCTGTGACTCTGCTGTTCTTTGTTATATGTATAATAATGTTTCATGCTATCCTTAGAGTTGAGAGTTAGAACAGCTGATAACAATCATAAATACTTGGAACTGCAAACTTCATTTCTGATTACAAAAAGTTTATTCTTCTCTATTTTAATGCATATATTTTAACACCACTAAATATATTTATTACTTTAGTAGAGACTAGACCTTTCTCCTTGTGACTTTTTTTTTAAATAGAAGAATCTGTATTCTGAAATTTGAACCACTTTCTGTTACTTCAATCTCTCATCATTTGCTTTTCCACAGGTTTACTTTGGGGGTAACAGTAATCTGTTAAATAACGAGTATCAGCACCCTGTCCTCTGCTGTAAAAAAGCCTGATTAGATACTGTGTATGTTTTTATGTCCATGAACCTGAGCTACTCGTGTGCAATTATGTGTATGGGAATGGAGTAGTGTTCATGATCTGTATTTACATCATCATATGGATGTATATTTATTAATAAAGTTAATACTTTAAAACTTAACCATTTTTCACTGTTTTTTTTTTAATCTTTTAAATTCTGGCTAAAGATGCCAGTTGACAGAGTTACCTACTTGTTACAGGCACGTTACATATATTTGCATTAAGGCAAAAAGACTCTATGAGTTGCAAGGTGTCAAAAGATATGGGAATGTTGCTTATTTTTCAATGAATTGAAAACAGTGTGACAGCAACTTAAGTGTTCTTGTCCATTCACTCAAATAGGAGAAAATAGGAGGAAAGGAGCTATAAGCCTGTATGGATTAACAGTCAACTGCTAACTTTTTCCTCTGTTGCACCTGGAAATCAATTTAAATAAATCTATAAAAGAAAGTAAATAAATATATATGTATATATATAAATAAAGTTTTCATGGAATGGTGGTCATAATTCATTATTCTGTGATAAGACATATTTATCCCTGTATTCCAGGAATATTCCATTTTATCTGTGTTGGTAAGATGTACTCTGCCATTCAACACTTTTAAATTTTTTTCTTCTTAGTGAAGTTTTTAGTAATTTTGGGGAAGAACAGGCAGTCCTACCCACCAGAAGCTGCAGTCCAGACTTCCAGGCCTGCATCCTCTGCTTGTTCTCCAGCACCCTTTTTTTTCTTTTCTGTAAACTTTCAAAGGCCTTGAATACATCTGGCGTTGGAACATTCCAAATGTCAGTTGCTGTTATTTTGCAGACTTTGAATTTACCTGAAAAAGACATTTGGTTGGTTGGTTGGTTTTGTTTTTTTTTTTTTCAGTTGGCCATTCTGATAATTCTAAATATTTGGCTTTCAAGGTGACTGGATATGTTCAGAACAGAGTTCAACAGCAGTCTGCTACATACTGGTCTAAGAATCTCAGTTCCTGGACATGGTTGCATGAGCAACATGTGTTATTTTATTTGTTGTGAGGAAACCCTAAGATTTCCTCAGATTAAGAAACCTTAATTAGATATTTTATCAGTCACAAATTGTATCAAACAAGAATATAGCCTTTTCAGATGTTTTGGAAGTTGCTTGACTGCTTCCATGGCTGCTGTGTTCTCTGCCGTGGAATGAGTGGAAGGATGGAAGCTGCAGAGAGTCTGTGCCTCAGTGCACAGCTGGTGTATAAGGCCAGGTGTGGTGTCTCATGACAGGGCCGGTTCAGGATTTATTCATGCTGGCAGACTGGCATTGTTGGGGTATCAGCTACACAAGCTGCATATCTTCAAGGAGTCTTAAAGTGGTTCTGTTTTTCATAACCTCAGTTTTGTGTATGGTGAGACACCAGGGCTTGTTTTGGTGCTGGACCGGCCCTCTAATGTTTCTGTACCTCCTTTATGTGAGCTCTTCAAGTAGCACAAAGAGTACCATATGAATTAGTTATGTCGTACCTGTTAAACACCATTAAAAACCTGTACGATTTTGATTTGTGTTATGGCAGGAAGGATATTTATGTTAGGATTAAATTCACAGTAAGGAGTTTTTTTCAAGTTGAAAATGCTGTTTTTTACTGAACTCAAACATAAGGAGAAGGGGGGATGGGGCAGTTTGCTAGTCTGCACCAGTTTGGATTCCCTTTGTGCTTTTCCTTTCAGGCTTGCTCTGTATCAGCCGATCTAATTAAATGTTTTCCCTCTATGTGCAAACCTCATGTTTTCTATTTTTAGACTATTATGTCCTCATTATTAGTGCTTTTGCAAATTGGACTTGGAAAGAAAAAGCTTCAAGTGAGAAAATGTGTGCTGTAAGGAACACGGAGAAGTACACCTGAGTAAAAACAAAGCCAAAAATACAATTTCTGTAATAAATGACCCCCATCTTTACTTATAAACATGCACTTGATTTTTCCTGCCCTTTTCCAGTGTGCATGGTTCATGCTTCCCTAGGTCATAACTATCAGATTTTGACAGATGCAGAGTTTTGGCAAAATCTCATTGTGCACTGCTGGCAGTTTTAAGGAAGTGTGTTAAAAAAAAAATAAAAATGTGTCAGCACTTGAAGTAATGTTTTCATTTTCAAAATGCCCCAAATAGTCTTGAGGCTTCACTATTAAACTGAAATAAAGTAAAACTAATTCTGCAACAGGAAAAATATAATTTCCTAGAAAGGAATATGGGAGTATTTACCATGCTTTTCTGCCTGGGAGCTTCGATTGCTAAGTTCGGTGGACAAGAACTCTTCTTTCTAGTTTTAAAAATACGCCTTTAGTTTGCCGCATTTTACCCTTACCCCAGCCTGCTGTAGGTTAAGGCACAGTTAGTGTGCAAACAACTCCCAGACGTGACCGTGCTTCCCTGACGAGCGTGGAAGTAAGCGAATTCTTCGCCAGGTAGCTGCGGGTGTGAGGAAGTGCTGGGACTACAACGCTGGCTTGTAACAGAGCAGGCTTTGGGATGAGCTACAAGGGTGCGTTCTGTGTTCTCAGTCACTCCTCAGTCACAGCAGCCTGTCGAAGCCATGAGATGGCACTTGGCCTCGTTGCAAGAACTTTCCGACCTGAACTAATATATATCAACAGTGAAATGCCTCCGGCAGCATCAGCAGACCAACACCTGGCCCCGGCAGCGGTTCCAGCCACACCGTGTGGGCTCAGCCCTGCAAGGTGGGGTCACAGAATCATAGGATGGTTTGGGTTAGAAGGGACCTTAAAGAGCATCTTGCTCCACACCCCTGCCATGGGCAGGGACACCTTGCACTATCGCAAGTTGCTCCAAGCCCCATCCAAACTGGCCTTGAACAATCCAGGGATGGGGCAGACACAGCTTCTCTGGGCACCCTGTGCCAGGGCCTCACCATCCTCACAGTAAATTTTTTCTTAAAATAATTTTAATAAAGAATTTTTTCCGAATACCTAATCTAAACCATTCTCACTTGTCCTACCACAACATGCACTTGTAAATAGTCTTGTCCCATCCTTCCTGTAAATTCCCTTCAGATACTGGGAGGCCGTAATTAGATCACCCGAAGCCTTCTTCAGGCTGAACACTCCCAGTTCGGAGTTCAGCAGGGCCGCGAGAAAACTCGATTAAACCCATCCGCTTTGTACCTAATACGAGCAGGGCTCAGCCCGGCTGCGCGCAAGCCCATCCTACCATTACCACCCTCACACCCTGAGGGCCCTTCCCACGGAAATACGAACCGCAGCGGAACTGGAAGTGTCCCCGAGGTCCGGCGGAAGCGGTCGTTGTCCGGGGAGACGTGACGGCGGCGGCCGGGGCCGTGTGTGAGGATGCGGCGGTTGCTGTTGGCGCTGGCCTGGCTCGGTGCGACCCTTCCCGCAGGTGCGGCCAGGGGGCTCTGGGTGCGCGGTCGCGGAGCGGGCGGGGCGCGGAACTGACACCTCCTTCCGTCCCTCTATCTCCCCGCAGGGGCGGCGGCGGAGCAGAGCGCGGGCGGCCCCGAGCCGGTGCGGTACCGCACGGCTGAGATGGCGGACGCGATGCTGGGCAGCGAGGCCCTGGCCGAGCAGCCCGTGCTGCTGTCGGCGGTGCCGGCCGAGGCGAGCGGCGGCCCGGCGGCGGCTTGCGATGGGGCAGCCGCGGGCGATGCATGCGGGCTGGCGGGGAGCGGCCCCGCGGCCGCCCAGGCTCGGGAGCAGCCCGTGCTGGAGCCCGTGCTGCCCGCGCCCGCTGAGGAGCAGAACGGCACCGACAGCGCCAAGGCTCCCAAGGTGAACTGCGAGGAAAGGAACATGACGGGCATCGACCGCTTCACGCTGCAGATCCTGAATGTGTCCCAGGTACTCGGGTGGTCCACTCACTGCCCGATGTTGGTGTGAACGCGTGAGGGTGCCCAGTCAGCCTGGTGATTTCAGTCCTCGATTTAGTGAATTTCCTTGTGTAACGTCCTCAGTTCTACCGAAGAAAATATAGGGCAAGGAGGCTTTTTGGGCCATCCTGCGCAGGAAAAAAAATGGAGTTACAGGTTGCTTCATGTGCCTCTGTTTGTTATCTGTGTGCCTGCAGGGTACAGCCTTCCTGCTCTTTGGACTGGTCTTGGAAATTGTTAATGGCAGTTAGTGCCAGCTCGTTTCTTGTAACGGTTATGTGTATATATATTTTTAAGTAATAAACTTCTAAAACAACCTTTAAAAAAGGTTATATACAATTCTTTACCTGTTTTAAAAGGTGTGTCTGCTTGATCAGTACTGCCAAGTATCTAATCGATTGCTGAATGCTGCATCCCTACACAGAATTTAATTCTGTTAAATATATAATTGTCCATGTTCGTTCTTGTGCTTTCTCCAAGGACCTGATGGAGTTCCTGAACCCAAACAGCAGTGACTGTACATTGGTCCTGTTCTATACACCGTGGTGCCGCTTTTCTGCCAGCCTGGCACCTCATTTTAACTCTTTGCCCCGAGCATTTCCAACTCTTCGCTTCCTGGCACTGGATGCATCCCAGCACAGCAGGTAACTTACACTCCCTATGCTCTAGCTGCAGTTTATTTCTGTTAGCTTTGAGTTTTAAAAACAGGAGTGGGGTTTTTTTCTACATAAAGTGACAATTTTATTTAGTGAAACTGACACTTTTGGTATTGTGACTGTCTTTATTTCTTCCCCCAGAAGATTTAATTTCCTTCATGCTTTGTTTTTTCTTTATGTAGTTTATCAACTAGATTTGGAACTGTGGCTGTACCAAATATCCTCCTTTTCCAAGGTGCTAAACCTATGGCTAGATTTAATCATACAGACAGAACACTGGAAACCCTGAAAGACTTCATCTTTAACCAGACAGGTGTGTAAATCAGCCCTGGTTTGTCAGTGGGAAGAACCAACTGGCTTTAAGGTCCAAATTTGGCTTTCCTGTGTGTGTTCTTTAAAATGAGTGTCATAAAGACCCTGAGAGTTAACCCAGCAGAGGTTTACTTAATCAACTGTCACCATGAGCTGGATTTCAGCCTGTGCTGAGAGCAGAAACTCAGCTCCTTGGGCTGCTGTCACAGAAGAGGGGGAACAGTGAGTAGCTAGAGAGGCTGCCAGAAAGATGGAGCATATCTTCCTGCCCAAAGATTTAATTGAGAATGAAATAAATTAAACTCTTCACCACCCAGCTAGCTCTCTTCTAATCCACACTGAAGTGCTGTGTGGATCTCAATTTCCAGAAATGCACAAAAATGAGATTCCTGAATAGACTCTAAATTAAATTTCCAGACGCTGAAAAACCCCCACAACTTATCCAAGGCTGTGCTGTGGGAGGACAGAATAAACCTTCTCCTGTTACGCAAATACACATAAAAATCACTAAGTTTTTATATAAGTGAATCAGGTATATGCTTTATATAAGTAAATGGGTATATGTTAATGTACAAGGGCCATCTCACCAAAATTTTAAACCTGTCTGTGTTTGAGCCTTAGTCTGAGAGCAGGAACAAACCTCCAGACAGAACTAGCTTTTCAATTTTGTGATTATGATGTTGTGCTTTGTTTTTTAGGGATAGAAGCTAAAAGCGATGTGGCTGTGACAGAGGAAGACTGGGAAGGGCCCCTGCCAAGTGTTCTGACGAAGGGCATAGACTGGCTGCTCCTGTTCTCTGTGCTCTTCCTGACTGGCTTTGTCATGTACGCCACCATTCGCACTGAGAGCATCCGGTGGCTCATCCCAGGACAAGAGCACGAACATCAGGAATAATCTCAGATGTTCAAACAGGGACAGAATTTTCTATATATTGGTAAAGTGGGAATTTCTAAGGACTAGAAGTACCTAAGAATGAAATGTTGAATTTGTTGGCTGTAATTTATAATAATGACTAAAAATTGTCTTTATTTATCAGCTACTGAATCTGTGACAAGCACATTTGTGGTAAGTAAACAAATATGAAAAAACATGAACTAAAGTATTTATTAAGCTGCTCGGATTGGCTTTTTTATGGAATTTGATGTAATTCATGGTACAGTTCTAATTTGTAGATCAGGGAAGATTTTTACAGCACATTGGTCTGTACATGCTGCGTACACACTTGCGTGGCACTGCAAGGCACTGGTGAAGGGAGGTTTTGGTACATTACTTTCACTGTCCATAAAATAAACTATGAAGATATTTTAAATTATTTCTCACTCCCATGGAGGTGACTGTTCCCACCTCTGGCATTGGAGTTCAGTGCTGGTTTTCTCATTTGCTTTGCTCTGAGTTTTGACTTAACAGCAATTCTTTATGAGATTTAGAGTCACTTCCCAAGCTCACCTCACTATTCCTTTGTGTGTATATAAATTATTTACCACATTTCTGTTGGATGAAATTGTATTAATTGTCCTTTATAAAAAAATAAATCAGGTTTTCAGTGTAACCTGCCTAAATTAGCAAGACCAGTCTTAATGTTTATTTAAATTTCTAGTACCATGTTTTCTAGTTCCACACTCTCCACTTGAGGCCACATAAAGAATTCACGGCTTTTTTTAAAGTTATAATTGCTATGGAGTGCTTTGGCTAAGGTATGGACTGGTATGTTGTGTGGGGTTTGAATTATATGATTGCATGGCATTTATCATGGTGGAGGCTTGCCAGAGTACACTAATAGGGTGCTTTAGAGAGCAAATTAAACTAAGATAAAACAGTGTTAAGACTTATTGTTTGACAGACAGCTCATATCCCTGCAACGTAATTCTTCACGTATTTCCCTGCTGGCTCTATCTTTTCCTCTGGAAACCAGAGGTCGTGTATATCTGTGTCCAAAAAGGAAGCTGCACTGGTAAAACTTTGGTGTGACTGAAGATAAAGCTAGGATGGATATTATTAATAAAGATTGTGAACGATAAATTCGAGCATTCTTGCCTCTGCCGTCCGGTTCGTTTGAGAGGCCCAGGGCTGGACTGTCCGTGGTGCTCATGTCTGCACCGCTAAAGAAACGGGGATGTGTTTACAAACATAACGGGGCTGTCGCCGTGCGGTCTCATTAGGTGGAAATGCGCCCGCCTGCTCACTGCGCGAGATACCACCCGCGGCCGCGGCCGGCAGCTCCGCTCGGCCGTTCTCCCGGGTAGGTGTCACAAATCACGGAATCATCAAGGCTGGGAAAGACCTTTTAGTCCGTCCAGTCCAACCCTCCACCAGCACCGCCACTGTAACCCCTAAACCGCATCACCCAACGCCAGATTCGGGCGCCTCTTAAACCCCTCCAGGAATGGTGACTCCACCACCTCCCTGAGCAGCCGGTACAGTGCCTGACCACCCCGACAGTGAAAAGGTTTTTTAGTATCCGATCTGACTCCTCCAATCTCAGCTTTAGGCCAGTTCTGGTCCTCTCACTGCAGGCATCAGTCTCTCCCCACTCCAACCCCCTTCCAGGGAGTTGCACAAAACGATGCGGTGCCTGAGCCTCCTCGTTCCTGACCGGTGGCCGCTTTTCCGGTAGCGCTCGCAGTCCCGGGCTGCTGTTGCGGCGGAGGCAGCTCCCCTTACTCTCTCGCTCCGTCTCCCTTCGCTGCCGGGCACTCGAAGCTCCGGTTCCGCCGCTCGTTGCGGCTCCTCCCGCGGGGCGCGACGGGGGCGGGGCCGGAGGGGCCATGCCAGGCGGCGGTAGCGGCTTGCGGCGGGCGCTGCTGGGAGTGTGGCGGGTGGCGGGCGGCGCCGGGAGCCCCGTGGCCATGGTGAGGGGAGACTGGGCCGGGCCGTGGCGGGGCGCGGAGTGGAGGGGTCCCACACGGACAGGCCGCGGGGTCGGGTCAATTCCCGCCCCTGTTCCCTAGGAACTGGGGGAGTTGGGATTGCGCAGCCTGGAGAAGCCTCCGAGGGGACCTGGTTGCCGCCGTTCAGTACGTGAAGGGGCATGGGGAGAGCTGGAGAGGATTTTGGGCAAAGGCGTGGAGGGAAAGGATAAGGGGGAATGGCTTCACGTCGATAGAAGCTTAGATGGGATATCGGGAAGAAATTCTTCCCCGTGGGAGTGGTGAGGCCCTGGCTACCCAGAGAAGCTGTGGCTACCCTATCCCTGGAAGTGTTCATCCAGGCTGGATGGGGTGTGGAACAACCTGGTGTAGTGGAACGTGCCCCTGCCCATAGCAGGGAGTGGATCAAGATGGGCTTTAAGATCCCTTCCAACCCAGATCATTCTAAGATTCTCCCCGTATCCCCCCCGCCATCCTACCTCACGGCTGATTGTAATAGTGAACAGCACGTGCAGGGTTCAGCTCTCGCCCCTCAGGCATGAGAGTTTTAATTTTTTTTGTACTTAATGGCTGTTTTGCTTAAGTTTCCTCTGAACAAACATTATCGATCGCTTCTGAACAAACATTATCGATCGCTTGGTCAACCCCACCACCCAACAGCCCCGGGATCCTGAGTGTGGGTCATGTGCCAACACCTGGGATGCTCAGTCAGCATTGGCACCCAGTGCTCATTCTGCTTCCCTGAGGGTCTGGCCATGCCCATCATGAGCTGCTGGGGGCTATGAGCATGGAAACACAATTGGAATCTTCCACTTTATCTTTTTCCTTGCTGCTTTCTGCTACATTTCTGAACATCATGATGTGCCAAGGGGCTGACTCAGGATGTGGCCTCCACAATGCAAAATGTGCTCAGTGTTCACCAGGGCCTGCATCAAACATGGTCTCCATATTCTATTTAAAACCCTGTGATCGAATTTCAAGTCACAGCATTGTCTTGTCAATGGCCATGTGTCAGGTGAGGTATCAGAAGGGCACTGCAGTATCTCCAGAGCTGGCACAGGACATCTCTCTGCTAGCTAGAGGAGTGGACTTTGTGTTGCGTCCTGATCACAGTCCTGGACTTTGCTATCTCAAAAAAAACCCACCCACCCTCATGATTTTTTATGCATTTGCAGACTAATTTCATCTTGTGCCAGATAAAACAGTACATTTCAAGACAGCCTTTAGTTTTAGTGATTTTTGTATATTCTTAAAAAAAAAAGAAGACTGTAAGAAATTTATGCCTATGGCTGCAGTTATAGCAATGAAAAATCTGAAATTTGTGTTGTTGCGAGCCCAGTGTTGTGTTTGAAGTGTAAAGAGCCTAAATTAGTTCAGTTTGGGACTGTAAAACCCATCTCTTGTTACATCTCTCTATCCCTCTAAACACAAACAGCAGCAGTATTGCTGTTATATTGATTTACTCCATTTGGGACTTTTTATCCTATGTAATTGGTGAAAATGTTACTCCTTGGTCCTTGTGCAGCTTAAGGCCTTGTTCAGGTTGCATTAATTGCATTAATTCCTGCTCTGCTCAGACTCTCAGCCCCATCTGGTGGCATTGGGTCTCCCACTGGAGCACCAGCTGGCAAAGGTGAAAACTCCTGAGGTGCTGAGCTGGCAGCAGGTCCTCACTGGCCTCCCATGTCTGAGTGAACTTCTGGAGCAAAACTGCCTTTCTGGAGGATCTCAAAAAGCTGAGCCAGCTGCTAAAATCAAGACTAAACTAATCTGAATGTGGCTGTACTGGGGAGAAAGGTTCTTCCCACTAAAGCATTGCATTTATCGTGAGAGTCTGAGACAGAATATCAGAATGTTCAGAATATGTCTGAGGAAGGTGCTCTTAGTCCCTGCTTTTAGAAAAGGTATCAGACCTCTTCCAAAGGCTGCACAGAACGTTCCTCTGTGTTTGGCTCTGGCCTTGTGTGTGGTTCAGCCCCTGATTCAGATATTTAAGCAGAGTGTTGATCTGTCATGTCTGTGCTCCCACTGGCATCAGGAAGGACTCCTGTCACTTTAAGTAAACCATACTTAAACACTGGTGCTTTGCAGAATCTAGTGCTTTTACCAGTAGCTTCAAACTTTTTGAAATTGTGTCTGTATTCCCATTTTTTTCCTTTTAATTTAGTTACAAAGCTCAGCGCATGCTGTCTTAAAAGTCCATTCCCACTTTTTTAAAATAGTAAAATACAAAGTAGATAGAGTGCAATCTCCTGTTTCTCTTCTCTCTTTTGAAATAGGTATTTCCTGATATCTTTTAGCCTTATAATTGTACATTTAGCAAATAATATAAATCATCCTTTTCTTACTGTTAGGAATGGAACATTTGAAAATTAAACGTGATGGTACAGCATCTGGGTAATTCAGATGACCAGGGGTACAGGTATGCTGATGTCCATCTTCATTCCTGGGAAAGAGTCTGTTTTTCACTAGTTTTGTAGAAAAAGCGCTTGCCCAAACTTACCTGCCCAAACAGAAATGATAGGCTTTGGCTGGTTTAGATTAAACTGGTCTGTGAAATTATAAATAGTAAGAAACTGCACAGTGAATTTTCCATATCCTCACCTTTGCACAATACATAACCCCAATTTCATCGTGTGGTTTTCTTACTGTTGTACAAAAAAGAACCTCATCTTCACTTGCCATGCCTTCATTTTTTTCCCTGAATAGTCCTCCCAATCTCACTGGTTGACAACAGAGGAAAGGAATCAAGTTTTACTGGATCTCAAAGCTTCAGGCTGGTCTGAGCTGGGAGAAAGAGATGCCATCTACAAGGAGTTCAACTTCAAAAATTTTAATCAGGTAATGATTGTTATATGCCACTTTTAATATAAAGGAAATGTAATTGCTTTAATTTCCATAGAATCCTGATGGGAAAATATTTATATTCAGAAATTTGGGAGTATCCTGGTGGGGCCAAATCCTCTTGGATTTGCTCTGATGAATTGCTCTCAGATTCTGATCTCATTAGGTGGAGTAAATTAATTCCATGTTGTAGTTGATAAGTAGGTTTGTTCTAATATTACAGTTTCTTGTTTATAATATTCAGGTTAGGGTCAAGGTTGGTATTGTGGAATCATACAAAGCAGTATTTGATCCTGATTTTTTTTTTCATTACTAGCACTCAAATAAATGCTGGAAATACATAACTGATGGGCAGTCGGGATCAATTTTGGCAGGGAAATACATGAAAAAAATGGGTAAATATAAGAAAGAACAGAAACCTTTGGCAAGCAAGGTGGGGAAAATAGGAACGTTTCACCTTCTAAACAGGAAGACAAAGTTCTAGTATATCCTTGATTGAGTTGTAATAGCTGATTTTGCAGTGTCTGATTGCAGTGTCTTTGGCACACAGAGTGCAAAAGTGCTGGTTTCTATTTACCTCACTGGGTTTTTGTTTGGAGACAGGATCCTGAGCCACATCTCACACTCAAAAACTTGTCTTAGACATCACTTACAAACTTGCTTTAGAAATACTGAATTTGCCTTGAGATCCCTGTTCAACTACATCCCACTGAAAATTCCCTTCTGAGGAATCATGACATTGCTTCGAAAAAGTCACATTCCCAGAGCATGCATTTCCTTTCTCTTTTATTTCTGAGGGAGGGGTGAGCTCTTTCTTGGGAGGGAAAGAAATTCCAGGGGTTTGTTGGGATGATGAGTCTCACTGAGCTGATTCTTTCCTTCACTATGGAGGGACATGGCAAGCTCCAGTCTGGGGATACTGTGAGTGTGTGTAGGGACCAGGAGCGATGCTGTGAGCTGTTTATTTATATGGCTGTGCCTAAACCTAGGACAAGATGTTTTAGGAAACCGCAGTGAGCTGGATAAACAACAAATTTGTAATGCTGGCCCTTTTTTTTTTTGCTATTTCAGTAGTTGTCATAGTAAGGAAAGCCCAGGCAGTAAAGAGAAAGTGGGTGAGGTGAGCTGAGAAAGCAAAAGAGAAAACAACTGCAGAAAAATCCAGCTCATTAGCAGAACAGTGCTGGTCTGGGGAGCATGTCCAGTGCCCTGAGTACATTTTAACCTAAATGTTAATAAAGAGCAAATAGAACCAAATCAGTTCATTCAGAGGACAGTGAAGGGGAGAAGTCCATGAGAGGGAGCTCA